TCATTCTCATATTTCAAAACAAACTTGTAACCTAAGTTAATAAAACATCGATTCTTTAACAGTAAAGATTTTAAAAATGGAAAAAGAAGAAACAAAAAAACGTAGAGCCATAGTCGACATTTCGATACGAAACAAATCGAGAATGATTCGACGTGTATCTGGTTAATCGTGCAGGGATTAAACGTCCATCGCGGTGTCGTTATGAATATTCATATGGAACCCTTTTGTCGGTAACCAGAACTCGGAAAAGCAAGACGACGGTCGGCGGCATTCAAAGAGATATATCGAGCCTTGCGTTTACCTAGGCACCGGCTTCTAGACGATCCCGACCCCTGCCCTTCCCCACCACGACAAGATTTGTGCATTAGGCAGAGGTAAATGCGATTTTGGGCAACTAGTCGTCTCGTTTTCACCGCTCACATAAGCGCGGTAGATACTATTACTAAATCGCGATAAAAAGATTCTTTCAATTTTTAGTTGGTATTACTACAATAATATTATATGTTGGTACTTGATGTTAGTTTCTTATGATCGATACATTCTATGATTGATGCATATCATAGTTAATATATTAAATATCGATAAATTTGTTTAGAAATTAACTATTTATAAATTTTTAATTAAATTAGATTTTAGATATTATAAATTTAAACATAATTTTAAGATTTTATAAATTAATGGAACATGAAAATCGAATCCTATGTAAGATATTCATAAAACAATGAAAAATATATTATAATGATATAAAAGAATAAATTTTTTGATCTTCTTATATTTTTTTTAAATATATTATATTCTTTTCTTTTTAATACAAATAATTATCACTATATTAATTTCAATTTTTTTCATAGATGGCGTTGAAACGTCACTTCGAAGCTGTCTGATCAAAGACAGCATGATAGATTTATGATATGTAAGTAAATAGATAATATAAGATTATGCTATAAATCATAAGGCAAACTTATAGTATATAATATATAATATATCTATATATAAATTTCATTGTGCTCAAAGATTATTTTAGAGTAAGATATGATTAAATTCATTTTTTCATATCCTGCGAAAAATTAATGCAAAGTTGACATAACCTATTCTTCGCATTATAAAGTCGATCTCAAATATGAAACTTAATTTTCATAAATATTGTTTTAAATTTTATTGCTTTTTTAATTATAATATGAATTTTGTGATATATTCAAAACAAATTGAAACCAATATCGATTATGGTAATGCGATTATGTTAAATATCTTTCCCAATAAAATGTTTTTTTTCTTACTTTTAGTGAATTTAATATCAAGTTTAATGGATGTAAAATTATATAAAATATAAAATATATATAAAATATAATATAAAATAATACGAGGAGAAAATTGGAGGAGATGATTGAAATAAGATTTGATGATGTTGGTTGGAATTTTTAAATAATTGTGTTTCGTATTGTATCACTTGAAAATATGCATAAATGCATAATTAAGAGACTTTAATCGAAAATTTTAAAAGACCACTTGTAATTTTAAAAAATCTAATATTTCATATGAACACACAAGGTATGCTTATAAATTTTTTTTAAAAAATTAAATTATGAAAAATTTATTTATTTCATATATACATGTTTTACAAATAAGTATCAATTTTTTAAAAAATTCATAATATTAAAAAATTAAAAAGTCTATATTTTTATAATATATATATATATATAAAAAAAGTTTCAAGTATAAATCTGAAATACATATATAAGATGAATCTAATATTACCACTATAATTATTTTTCTTAATTAATAGATCAAAATTTTTTATTATCAAAGATTTCTAATGATTTTAAATAACATTTAATTTTA